CTTTCATTTCTGGCTGTATTTCAGACTAAACACATAGATTGACCCTCTATAAAACTATCAAAATTTTTGTATAAATGGCAAACATTTTGTCAACCAAAAAAGACATTATATAAGTTGTTGAACTGAAAAGAAGACAAAGAATGCTCAGCCACAAACAAGTTAGTGCCTGGCTTCTCTCAGAAGACTGAGAGTTTATGAAATAAACCCATTTAATGTTGATTAAGGTAGGTATACTACAAAGAATTCTCTTTAAGTTCTTCTTCCATAAGATTTTTTCCTCCTACAAAAGTGATGAGGAATAAATACCCTACTAACTAAATATTCCTATAGGGCAGTAATGAAACTTACTTTTCATAGAAGGTGGACTTCGGTGAAAGCAAAGCAAAGTATACTTGATTTATAATTTATATATACAATCTACTTCTGATGTGAATTTGCAGCATAAATGAACACTGCTGCTATGCTTCAAAATTCTCAAGATCAGAATTTGTTTTAAATGGACCTAGAAGTGCTGAACTATGTATTTGATAAAAACATGTAAATTCTGTCAGAGGAGACACCCCATTCCAAGACTCAAAGAAACCTAGCAATCACAATTTCAAGCAAAATGCATATATATATAAAATCAATAAAAAATCACCAACATGCAAGGAGACACAAAAATTGCTAATAACAAAGACAAGAATCAGGAGTGCAAAAGTTCAGATACTGTAATCAATCAGTCACAGAATATAAATTAAATATGTTTAATATGCAGAAGATAGTAAAGATCTGAAATATAACTATTAAGCAAGATTGGGCCTCCCTGATGGCACAAGAGTTTAAGATGCAATCTATGAACTGTCTGCAGCCTCTGCAGCATGAGTTCGATCCCCGGCCAGCCAGGGAGCAACCCACATGGCGTGGAAGACCTCTCCTGACTTGCCTGCTGCTTCTCTCAGCAGTGTATTTTGGTCAATCTGCCTGTTCTGTTCCCCACTCTGTCTCTGGGGAATCCTCTCACCTTCCACACCTCTGGCCTGTACCCCAGTTCTTGTATGCATAAATACATAAAAAATCTTGAAAAAAATATTAAGATTGAAAACAAAATGTTTGGAAGTAAATATAAAATAATTGAAATATAAATGTGTGATATATTTAACAGTACCATTAGGTCAAGTTAAAGAGAGAAATAATAATCTGACACAAAAATCTAATAATGTTACTGAGAACAAAACACATCTATATAAAGGACTGAAAAAATACATGAAAGAGAGATGAGTTGTGGGATATCTAAGAAGGTTTATAGTAAAACATACAGCATGAAGAAAGAATTACAGCTAATCTCTATAGCCTGGTATATCTGAAATAAAAGCTATAAAATATTAAGCTAACTAGTGAGATTTAGCAGACTTTTATCTTGTAAATCATGTGTTATGAAAGTGGTAAATATAAAAGTTATGTCTAACTATGCAGCTATAAAATGATGCTGCATCCAATTTGTAATCTTGAAGCACTGAACATGAAAAATAAAAATGTATATAGTGGAGAAAAAGATGAAAAGCTGATACTCCTAAGTGAGCGGCATCGGTAAGCTGCCACACTAGCACTGAACTATCTGACCTCAGTCTTTTGTTTCATGAGATGTAAAACCCTCATTTGTTAGCCTATGTTATTTGAGTTTTCTGTTAATCTCAGTGGAAAATATCTGCACATCAGTCTTCCTACCAGCATCATAAAAGTGCTCTTTTCACTACTCCCTCACAACTGAATATTATCTTTCAAAAAATATTTAGTTTTTAATAAATGAAAAGTATCATTTTAATTTAACTTGGATTTCACTGATTATTTTTGGTTTTGAAGATGTCACATATTTATTTCTCATCTTTTTTATTGGATTTTTGCAGTATAATCTTTACCCATGTATATCTTATATTTTCATATCATATTATTATCATTACAAAATTTTATAGGGTAAAAATAATGAATTATTTGCTGGTTAAACTATTATCTAATTATTAAATTAATTTCACTAGATACTCCAGATAACAAATTGTTTGAAAATATTTGTAAGCTATAATGTTATTTTTTACTGACCAAAATGTAAGATAAAGGTTTCTATTAAAACTCCCACAGTCAACTCACTTTTGCACACATAAATTCACTGACATGACTCTTGGTTCTCTTAGCCAACATGGTGTTATTTAATGGGTAAAATTTAGCTTATTCCTTGTAAAGAAAGTGGCACTTCCATTTTTTAAAATGATCAATAATTTATTAATGTGGTTTGGTAAGAATTCTTATAGAACAAGACATAACATATAATTTGCTGCTAAATGAGGGCTAAATTTAGGGAAAATATCATCTGTAGTGAATATTTTATCAAAGATACCTACTGGAAAATATGCTTCTATATAAATCTGTTTTCTACCACTTACTATGTCCTGGAATGCCCTTATTCATGATGCTGTTCAAAATAAAATATATTATTCCACACCTCTGATGACTCCATTTTATCCTTTCCATAAGAAGTAATTCAAAATTTGATTCCTACAACGTTTCTCCACTATTCACCTCATCTTTTAACCACATAAAGATGTTTATTCTTTCTAACTTTAGCTTAATTATAATGACTTCAATATCTGTGCTATAGTTTCTTTCTGTTCTGCCAATATTTCATTGTGTATTGTGTATTATATACAGCAGTTTCTCATGAAAAACTTATTGAATGTTACTCTATTTAAAAAAAAAAAAGAACCCATCTTGTCACAATAATTTCGTAGTCTATGCTTTCCCTACCTTTACCACCTATGAATGAATCTTCAACCCATTTATTTCATAGGACATAAGTAAGGATCTTATGTGAGGCTATTTTACTTGTCAACAACCTAAGATGTGTTCCAAAATTAATCTATTTGGTGTGAATAGTGAAAAAAATCACCAATAGGTTATAAAACACAAGTTTAATATTCTTATTGTATGAGCACATTTTGAAATTATTAATAATATGAATACGCTAAGATCCTTTCATCATACTTAGTGAAAGCTCAAGCCGTATCATGAGGAGGATAACAAAACATGACCCCGTTTTCTGTGATTGATGTTGGAGAGCAGGAAAGTTAAAATTTTCTCAGCATAAATATTTACTGAGCTACCTCTGATGAATATACCATGGTTTAGGGCTCTGTCTGATCTGAGAATTTTGCAGCTTTTACTCTCATGCCAATAAGTGACAGGTTACTATTAATGACAGGTGGGCTGTCTACAGCAAGCAGGACTGTCAGGCTGAATGCTTGTCATGGGGACAATTTTAAAATGAAAGAGATATTACATTTATTTAGGAATTATTCAGTGATGTTACTAACAATCACAGAGGAAATTCAGCTTTTTTTTTTTTTTGATGTTGACTATAGATTCAGAGCTGTTTTAAAACACCTCCTAATAGAGATACAAAAACCTTTAAGAAATGCTTAATGTATAGCAAACAGAAATTTGTGAAAAGGGAAATAAATGCTGAGTATGTTGTACTTGTATGAATTTTAACGTCATGTTAGTAATGAAGTAACTGTTACTCAAGGATCATACATCTAAGCAGGTATTATACAAAAAGGTGGTATGAAATGAGCTCTCTAAACTCATTCATATTGATGGAATGACTAGCACTGTAATCGCTTGCACATTCTCTTAGTGTCTCCTGAGCAACATTCTGTGTTCCCAATGACAGGGAAAACAGAAACTGCAGAACGATGTGCAGTTCTAGAGTACAATGCACTTTTGTAAGTTTAAAGTTTGTTGAATTTTTATATGCTACTATGGATAAAAAACACGAGATAGAATCTGGCCTATATTTGAAAAGTTTGAAATTCTTAATGTCAAAAAATGAAATCAAGAATGCAAGTACAAGTATATAATCTATAATCATGAAAAATGGAATCCCTTCTTACTCAGGTGGAAGTGGTAAAAAGTATGCTACCCCTAAAAGCCATTATTATAAATACAAATCCCTATACTGAGCTTAATCATACATACACCTCACCTGCTAGTACTACCTCAGTCTTGAATTCCCAATGAAGGAGCATGAAGAAGATTTGTTGGTCTAGAAAACGTCTGTAGGTATTCTATGCGACTCTTTCAGGAATGCTCTAAAAAAACCCTCCTACTAAAAAATTCTTTGGTGCAACTGTGCTTTAATGATATGGCTTTACTGATGTAATTTCTTAGATTTTAAACATGAAGATTGAAATCTCTGCAGATAGTTTTTAAAGGATTTTAATGATGATTATCAAATAGCTACAACATTCCTTAACATTTGTTACTAATAAACATTAATTTTAATATCCCTACTGCGTATAATAAATGAATATTCAGTAATATGTCATTAGAATTCCTTCAAATACATTATTATGCATTAAAAACTCTTTTTACTGAAATATTTGTCTACATGTACTAAGGCTAGCTATATAGGAATTCATTAAAATTTATTATATTTTGCAGCTTGCATTTTATGAATGTTTATTCATATTTACCTTGTCTGCATGTGCTGTATAGAAATTCATTCAAATTTATTGTATATTATGCTTTGCTTTCTAGTTACCATCATTACTCAAATATATTACAGTATTAGCTTATGCAGGGTTTTGTAAGCTAGTATTTACCAGTATATAAATACATGTATTATTTCTGACTACCTAGCCTTAAATTATTTTTCAGTGCTAGTATAATATTAGTGCTTACATAAAACTTATGCTTTACTATAGAATCCCATTGTATACTATACTATATTTTCATCAGCAAAATGTTTTACAAGTAAAATAACTTTAAAGTTACTTCAAATCTATTTTAAAAAGTGCTGAAATTATATTTTTTGCCAGAATTTTTACTATACATATTTACGTAACTCGTTATGCCTACCTGCTCTAAATGTTCTCAGAAATATAGATGCTTCTGAAAATAAGAGGAAAAACACTCTCCTTACGCACTGGTAAGGAAGCTAGCAAATATTAGGATGTGCCATCATGTACCTTTTAAATTACAGTGGTTATTTGGTAGAACTACAGATGTTCAACAGTGAGGATCTCCAAAGTGGAAAGTTTAAAGCTCATTCTTTGTCCAAAGTGGAAAGTTTAAAGCTGATTCCACCTTTCCAGGATGGTTGCCTCTACAGAACAATAAATAAGGACATAATGACCAAATTAGAGATTTGTACTGGACCTCAAAAAGATATACACAGTGAAGATTTTTGAAGATTCACATGGACTACATTATTGTTAAAGTTTTGTTTTAAGACAAACTAGGGACTATTTATGACATTTATTATTTGTGCCTTAATTCAGTTAGTCATATTTCAAGATAAGCCAAAATATTATGAGTATTTAACATATGGTAACATTTGCAATTACCACTCACATCATCATAAATCTACTATTAATTCATAAACTCTGAATCAACAATCATAACCCTTCCTCCATATTAAATTAGGCATCAAAGTTTACTGTTTATAAGTTAGTCTGCTTGCTCTTTTATTTTTCTACATGTCTGTCCACTCCAACATTTCTTTTATACTTAACATTCTTGTTTACAAAGCTATTTCAATCCTATATTATATTTTACTTTGACTCTGCAGGTGCCTTCTAATTTATCTCCTACATCTATATAAACTCTTTTATCTCTTCAATACCCTCCCCCAAAGTAGCATTCATTTATTTAGGTTTGGGGCCCTGTTAGAAATTGTAAAGGACTCTGTTGGAGATTTCTTAGGATGTCTTTCCCTCCTCCATTAACATCCACCCTAAAAATAGTCCTTTGGGAAGGTGGAAATGTAGTTAGCCCTTTAATACCTTTTTTCTTGCTATTCCCCCCTCTGAAACAAAACTCCCACATGTCTACACACTCACTAAAGAGAAAAAACAAAATGAAACAACACCACATATTTAATTTCCAAGGGAAAACATTCATTTGTAATTTGAGAGATTATCATAATTCTGATTCTGCTCATATTCCCAAGCTTCCCTTCCACTATGATATCCCTCATGCTCTATACCATACTTCTTTTTCTATACCATCCTCAAGCTCATTCCTTTTTCCCTCTCATACTATAAAATTTTCACTTCATGCATTATATTTTACAATGTACAAAGGTCAACTTTATCTGCTTCCTTTTCAGAAAAAAAGTGTTTTAAATTTCCACTTTGAAATATAACCTAGTAAGCCATGAATATCTTGATTTTATGTACCAAACACATAATAGTACATATACCATGGAATTCCCCACATATTATTGCTGATTCACTTATCATTGATTATGATTCAAAACCTACATAAAACTATTTGGTTTCTCTTTAACATTATATGTGTGTGTGCGTGTACGTATATATATATATATATATATATATATATATATATATATATATACACATATATATATATATACACGCACACACACACATATATATACATACAACATGACAATGACATGTATATATATGACATGACAATGACATGAAACAAGATAAAATTTTAGCAAGCTTAAGTATCATTTAACATTATTTAAAAATATAGATAGTAATAATACTTTTAGATGTCCACTAAAAATCTAAATTATAACAGGCTGTAGTATAGGTTTAGTAAGTTTGTTCAAATTTATCTTATCCCTATCCTATAAATAGTAGTTCTGATCAATTTGTGAATGTTAATATGATTAATTTTGTTACTTATGTATTCTTGGGGAACAACTGTATTTTTTGGTAACAGACAATTATCATTTACAATTACCAGATAAACCATCATTTATATTATCTGAGTCCAAGAAATGTATCAGATCACGATCTTTCTGTTCAAATACTGTAATACAGTAATAGTGGCAGGATAAAAGGGTAGTATATGTAGATAAATATGAGGCAAAAGACATAGTTCATTTTGTTTTCTTGATATTGCAGTAAGCAGTAAACAAGGTTAAACAAAAATATGAAATAATTAAGAGAGGAAAGCAATAAAAGAACAAAGATAAAAGAGTAATGAAAATATCCAAGATGAAGAAAATTACAAGGTATTTTTAAAAAGGGAAAGTAGGAAAATCAATAAAAAAAAGAGTAAGTTGCAGATTGAGAAACGAGGGGTCAGTATGGTAGAAGGGAAATTATAGAATGGGGAAAAATACAAAAATGGCTTAAAAGTGAAAAGAAGCAAGAATATGTAAATAAGGAAATAAGTTAAAAAGAAATAAATATATTTTTTAAGTGACAGAAACAACTGATATGAAGACCAAATCAAGATGGGCATACCAAAAATAAATAGAGGGAGTTAAAAGCTCTATAAAATAAAAAGGGAATCCAAAGAAATGCATAAACTACCAAGAGAACAGTGGATCTGGAAGGAAAAAAAAAAGGTGCAGTTGTGCCCAGGGGATGCTTTTACAGACATTAGTTTCACTTAGCTCATTAGAGCAGGTTCAACAGGAAATAAAGAAACCGGGAAAAAAGAAACAAGTCAGATAACAAATATTTCTATTTTACGTCTTTCATAATAGAACCCAGTCTTGTCAGAATACTCTGAGAGGAAATCAAATTAGATTTCATTGGATGCATAAGTAAAAAAGCATAGTTAAAGAAACCTAAAAGCCAGGACCCACTACAAAATAGAACAACTACATGGTTACATAAAAAGAAGGTTTCAACAATAGAGTGTTTCCAGCTTTTACTTTTTCCTTTTGCTGTCTTTCTTGCTAACCATACCTATTAGTGCACTCAGCTGGCTCAGATTTGCTTTAGAAGCCTGAACTGACCTTAAGACACTCCCCTCTAGTGAGTTTCTGAAGTTGTACACTGCTAGAAAAAGCTTTTGAAATTGTACTTCCCTCTACCCGCATTCTTAGTTGTCTGAATATACATGTGTTCAACATTATCTTTCTTGTCCGTACCAATTTCAGTTATTGCTTAGTAAACTAAAGCAGTTGATAATGATAAGTGTAAGGAATGAGTTCACTTTGTACAGTCTTGGATTATTGTCTGGTGTTTGTTTTTTGGTATTAGGAGAATCAAAATATTTAAAAATGATTACTATTTGGTATAGCATCTACTGTATTGGTAATACATAGAACTTTTATTAACCAAACAAAACAGTTTATGTAGAAGTCAGATTTAAATTTTAGGGGATAAAAGCTTAATCTATTCTAACAAGTCAGCTACTAAGATTAAACTAATTACCTAACTTCTAAGTTTCATTCCTCAACACTCAAACCTTCTGTAAAAAAAATGTCCTTATATTCACATGCAGAACCAATTATTCTTAGAGCTTTAATAGATTTTATACACCATGTATCACATCTCACATTTGTGATTTTTGTCAGTTTATATGCTAGATTTGCTTCATCTGTTAGATTACATACTAGATTGTATAATCTAAGAAAGCAGGAACAAGCAGGCATGTATCATATACATGTATATGCTATGTGCCAGCAGAATACAGTTGAGTATTGTACAGACTTTGTTCTATAGCTGGTATTTCCAATATTTTAAATGTATAATATCTGTTCGAAGTTAATAATCAGGAAAAAGAAAATCCAAGGGATGTGAATACAGTCTTTTAATTCAGTCAAGCAGTTGATTCCTGGTACTTGCTCAGACAAACAGGATTTAGAAAAGCTGACTTGGGTCTTGGCTTCCACATACATAAAGAGAGATAATGATATTAAGTTCATAAGGTTGATATGATAAGCATAAGGCACAGCGTATTTAGAGTTTCTAAGAAACAATAAATTTTTAAAAGTGAATAACATTATAATGATTTGTTAATGATCAAAAAACATTCTGGAAGCTTTACACAGAGAAGAAACTCATATTCTGGTTCCAGTGCTTCATAGTTTTACAAAAAAAATTTCAAGTAATTCAACCTTGAAGTTATAAATAAATTGTTGAATTATGTTAGGACATAGGTGAAAATATTACATCATCCATTCACCAACAGATTCCGTAAACAAATAAACAAATGAAAAACTCTATAGAGCAAGAAATTAGGAATATGGACATGTAGCTCTACAACAAAACCTCAGGGCTGTGAAATATATTGAAGTATTACAATGAAATAAAATAATGTCTTCAAAGATGCTATAGGAAACATTTGCTTGATAGAGTAAACTTAATTAGCTCTGAAATTTCTATTAGTAAAATTACATGCTACCTTTTTATCCATAATTTTTCTATCACTTTTAGTACAGATATTCATTGCTGTACCTTTCTCTGGAAAGCCAAATTGCTAGTCACAGTTGTCAATCAAAAATTTTGACAACAATCAATTTTCAAGCTTATTATTGCTTTATAAATCCAAATTATTTCACATTCTAAATTACTACACAATCCAACAACAAAGACACAAATAGCCCAATTAAAAAATGGGCAAAGGAGGGCCTCCCCTGGTGGTGCAGTGGTTGAGTGCTGGGCTGCGAAGCTACCCATAGCCTCTGCAGTGCGGGTTCGATCGATCCCCAGCCGCTGGCAAGGGTCCCACATGGCATGCAGACCTCTCCTGCCACACCCACTGCTCCCCTCAGCAGTGTATTTCATCAGTCTGCCTATTCTGTTCCCTTCTCTGTCTCTGGTGAATTCTTTCACCCTCCCATGCTTCTGACTGTACACAGTGCTTGTATAAATAAATAAATAAGTCTTTAAAAAAATGTGCAAAGGAACTCAATAGTCACTTCACCTAAAGAAGACATTCAGATGGCCTGTAGACATATAAAAAATGTCCAACATCACTCATTATAATAGAAATGAAAATTAAAACCACACTTTACATACCACCTTACCCCTGTGAGAATGGCCAATATAGAAAAGAATGGAATTAATATTTGGTGATGTTGCAGTGAAAAAGGAACTCTCATCCACTGTTGGTGGAATACAAGCTGGTACATACAGCCCCAGTGAAAAATGGTATGGAATATCTCAAGAAAATAAAAATGGAAATTCCATTTGATCCACCAATACTGCTATTAGGTATTTACCCAAATAACATGAAAAATTTAACACAAAAATATTTATCTACATGTACATATATAGTAGCATGGTTTACAATCACCAAATCATGGAATCAACCCAAATTCCCTTCAAAAGATGAATGGATGGGAAAACTGTGGAGCATAGATGCACTGGAACATTACACAGTGGT